AGTAACCTATATCACTAACAAATTCTTCTTTCGAACTTCTTTGTCTTCCAACACACCACATTCGTCCAGTCCCACCTGGTGACTGCGTGTGTTCGTCTTTCAGGGTCAAGTGGACTAACAGGTCCTCCCTATTTCAATTTTGTTATTTTTGCCTCTTGTGCTGCGTCTTTTAATTTTCTCTTTTCTTACGTCAACATTCCTCGCTCTGCCTTTAAGAGTGACGTTTAACATTTTTCGCTCCATTTTTCTTTGGCATATCTCTATCATATTTCTTTTACATTAAAATACCACGTTTTTAGCTCCATACATTAGAACAGGTAACACAAAAAGTCAAATATTGGCATTTTAATTACTTTTTTACTGTTCAATATAAATAATGAACTGAATAATTCTCTCGATGCCTTGGAGATCCGAAAAAACCTGTTCTCGTCTGTTTTGGAACAACACTATTTGTTTTTAATACACATATGCTTCAACGTAGTCTATTTTGCTGTTATGTATTGTGATGGGTCTAGCTGACCAGTTTGACATAGTTTTAATATCTGTAGTATTCATTTGTAAATCCACATTGTTGCACAGTCCCGACTTTTCATTAAGAGTATCTTCCAGTTCTTTTGGCGATTTTGTGGAGATTATTTCATCATGCAAATCTTAGATTTTTTAATATTCTTCCATTTATTTTTACGCTTTATTCGTCCTTGATATTTCTAAGTACGTGATGTAGAATGATTGATTCTGGTACACTTATGAAAGTATTTGGTAATTACTAATCTCTTTGGCGAATACTTTTTAGTATTATGGATATTAGTAATTCTATCTCAGTCTTCATTTGAGCCCAGATATTTATACATACTTAAAAGTCTATCATACTACTTTATGTTAACACCTTGTGAAGTAAACGCTGAGTGTTTAACTCTGTTAAAAGCTTAATTCAAGTCTTTAAATGCCAAATATACCTTGTCATTATATTCTTGAGCTTTTTCCAGTAATTGGATGACAACTTGATGATAATGGGTTGAAGAAAAGTATGGGTTATAAAAATTGTGGACTCTTGTAATTAACTAACAAATATACTTTTTTCTTACAAAAAACACAGACCAAAGAGTTTCTTTTTAAATGCGTTATAAGATATTTCCTTCGCCAGATACTGAGAAATCTCCGGACGTAAAAATTAATTTTGAAAAGTAAGTCCTGAAAAATTAGGTCTTAATTAGAAAAAAATTAGAACGGAAATTTGAGTAAAACCTGAATTTGAAGGTCAGGATTTGGAACTAGAGTAATTGAAACTTCACCAGAGCGAGTGCCAAGGAGTGCCAAGCTAGGAATTCTGGTTAACACACAACAGGCATGCCAATGTCGCGGGCAATGTAACACGCTTACTAGACCTCGCGAGCAATGCGTGCAGAGAAATTGGCGCGAGATTTAAAATAATGGGTGGCACAAATAGTCCCAGAGTGGTGGTATGTTACCGAGTACCTGTCCCACGACATAATTCAAGAGACGTTTCTTGACAGTTACTGTCACAAATTTACCTATATTATTTCCTAATTTCTTTTAAAGTTAAAGAACTGATCCATTAAAATGAAATAAAACATCAGTCCGATTTCAAATTTTCAATTGAATAAAATTTAAAAAATTGAATCACAAGTATCTTGATTTGGTATCCTGTTTACTTAAGAGAGATATTAAGCCATGAACTTTCTACGTTCAGGTTAGCCACTTTAACAGGCGAATATTCTTGTCTGTTAAAAGCGCTATCCGTCCATAAGCGAGAATTGTTAACTTATAGAGACTTGTCAATTTATTTCACAGTATTGGTAAATACAATAAGTAACTGAATGGTTTAACAACAACACAAAACGAAAACAAGAAACATAATTCCCCATTCAAACATTTTCCTGTCCTTATAGGTAAAGATATGTATATAAGGAAAAATTTAGTAAGAAAGTAATCAACAAAAATAGGAAAAATAGGAAAAAGTAAAGAATACGAGTATAAACTCAAATACAATTCTCGGTTATTTGATATAAAATATCTAGCAAAAATAGTTTTGTATGAAGTTTCTATTCACCGCATCTCGGCATTTTAAGGGAAATGAGTGCGGAGTCAGGAGACGTTGCTGGAGAATATTTCTCATTCATCGAGCGGATGTATGATTCAAATATGGTGTTGCCAAACGGCTAGACGTTATCTCACGTGGCCGGGTATCAACCATCTGCCGTGTCTGATAACTTGCAGTTGCGTCCGCGGGCGCAGCAGCGATGGCCGCGGCAGTGGCTGTGTTGGCGGTGTTGGCGCTGGCGGGGGCGGTCTCCGCGGCGGGGGCGG